AGTATTTGCACTAAATATATGGAGGCATTACCTCTATGGCACAAAGTGCAAACTTTTCACTGATCATAACAGTCTCCAGTATCTCTTTAATCAGAAGGAATTGAACATGAGGAAACGACGCTGGCTAGAGTTACTCAAGGACTACGACTGTGAGATACTTTACCGCCCTGGTAAAGCAAATGGTGTCACTGATGCTCTCAGTCGGAAAGTAAATCTTGAAAGGAAATGGCCAAGAGCGTTGAGAATAGAAGTTGTCTCGACGATTATGGAAAGCATAAAGAAAGCTCAGGAAGAAGCTTTAGAGAAGAACGACCGAAAGGAAGAACGTTTGGGCAAAACGTTAGTGTTCGGTACAAACAGTCAAGGACTTAAGGTATTACAAGATAGAATTTGGGTACCTAATACGGGAGGGATAAGAGATCTTCTGATGGAAGAAGCTCACAAGACCATGTACTCGATTCATCTCGGTAGCACTAAAATGTATAGGGACCTAAAACCCTATTACTGGTGGCCAATGATGAAACTCGATGTTGCAAAGTATGTGGCCGAGTATGGGACATGTGCAAGAGTTAAGGCGCAACATCAGAAACCATATAAGAGTTTAGAACTTATACATGTACCCATGGGTAAATGGGAAGACATCACCATGGATTTTGTGACTAAACTGCCCAGGACGAAAAACGGTCACGACATGATTTCGGTAGTCGTGGGTCGGTTTACTAAGAGTGCACACTTCATAGCAGCCAATGAGAGATGGTCTATGGATAAGCTTGCAAATGCTTACGTGAAGGAAGTTGTGAGACTTTACGATGTTCCTCTAACGATTGTATCAGATCGTGATAGTCATTTCATGTCACGGTTTTGGAGGAGTCTACAAGAGGAATTGGGTACAAAGTTGTGTTTGAGTACATCTTACCATCAGCAGACTGATGGACAGAGCGAAAGAACTATTCAAACACTGGAAGATATGCTGAGAGCATGTACCCTAGAGTTCTAAGGTAACTGGGATGAGCACTTACCTCTGGTAGAATTTTTCTACAACAACAGTTTCCACTCGAGCATCAAGATGGCACCTTATCAAGCCTTGTATGGACAGAAGGGTCGTACGCTGTCTTGTTGGCTTGAGGCGAGAGAAAAGCAGTTTATGGGGCTCGAGATGCTCCATCGGACTGCTGAAAAGTTGAAAGTTATCAGGGAAAGGATGTTAGCACCTCATGATCGTCAAAAGAGCTATGCTGATAAGAAGAGATGACCAATGACATTTGAAGTTGGGGATTCAGTTTTGCTTAAAGTCTCACCATGGAAGGGACTTATAAGATTTGGGAAATGAGGAAAGTTGAGTCCAAGGTTTATTGGACTGTTCAAAGTTCCTCAGAAGATTGGGAACCAATCTTACAAGCTCGAATTACCAGAAGAGCTGAATGGTATTCATAACACTTTCCATGTGTGTTATTTGAGGAAGTTCACGGGAGAAGTTCCCGACATAATTCCAATCTCCGAGTTAAGGATGGATGAGAATAAGAGGCTAATCGAAGAGCATGAGGCAATTGGTGACTGTAAGACTAAGAAGATGCGACGCAAGATGGTCGACTTAGTGCTTGTGCGTTTGAAACACACGAATGGGCCGAATCTCACCTGGGAAACAGAGAGTGACATGATGACACGCTATCCACATCTGTTTGCTGATGCATGATTCCGGGACGGAATCATCCTAAGGGGGAGAGAATTGTAACACTCGTGTTGATGGGCTAAGCATTAGTGTAGTGATATAATAGTCAGGTCAACCATTGTAACCTATTTTTTAAGTAATAAAAATGAATTATTTGAGTATTATGTGAATTATGTGAATTTATGTGCTTTATAATTATTTATAAAGGTATAATAAATAAAGGATATAAATAAGTGTCAAAATTTAAGTATTAGATAAACCCGATATCTATACATAATGTGGTAGTGGTCGTGACAAGGATTCCGGACATATAAAGAACGCCGAAATCTGAGTTATAACGAAGAAGTTATGGCTTGTCGAAGTTTCGCGACAAAACCGGCACGACGCTGTGTGACGTAAATAGTGAATTTAAGATAGAGGACTTTTTAGCCTTATCAATCTAAAAAAAATTCGTAGTATACGTTAAACCGAGAGCGTGCATAAAAAGAACGCCCAACTCTGACTTCGTATGAGGAAGTTATGATTTTTCTAAGATTTGGCCTAGCAGTACACAGCCCGGAATTCGAATTTTAGATCGAGCGGTTTTTAACCAACACAAACTAAATGAGAATTGAATATCTCATTATTAGTAGTGCAACGGTAAAAATACAGACGAAAACGGACGTCGTATGAAGAAGTTATGAATTTTTAACGGACTTTTCCTGTCCCGGCCTATTAAAACAGAACTGTATGCCAACAGAGTCTAAAAAAAACTTGTAGTGTATGATCCCACCTACGCGTGGATATAAAGAACGTCGAAAACGGAGCTTGTATGAGAAAGTTATGATTTTTCTAAGTCGGGAATGAGCTGTGCGAAATCTGGTGACGTGGTGAAATCCTGGCCGTTGCTTCCTCCCCACGGCTAGCCACCAGATGGTGAAACCTTGCATGGAACTCGTCGAGTAGGAGGCCACTAGATGAGTTGGGCACTTTTCCAGCCTATATATAAGGTGCCGGGGGAAGCTCATTTCTCACACTTTTCACCCTCTCTTTCTCTCTTTATACTATCTCTCTAACCCACCAAACCCCCCCCCCCAAAGCCTAGGGTAACTCCCTAGCACGAGAAGGAAGCCCCGGAGCTCCCGACGACTCTGAAAAGAAGAGCTTTCTGCTCAAAAATGCTGCTTCAGCGAAGCCTGGTTTTGATAAAAACCCGCTGTAAGTGAGATACGCCTAACATACCGTAAGTATAGCTTATGTTTAAATATAGTAATGTTATTAGGACCTTATAATAAATATTTGGGCTATTATTATGAGTTATATAAGTGTAGTTATAATATATTTTTAACTACTCGCGGTACGGGGAATCTAGTATAAAGGGTCGCCTGGGTTGTTGGATTCAGAAGTGTTATATGCCAAAATGATCATGCCCTCCGGTGTTTCATGTCTGGCCCCTGTCTGTACATAGTGGTTGAGAAATATTGTTTAGCGCTTATATAATAGTAACAATGCTTAGACTATTAATTAGTCTCAATGAATATTACACTAAACTCTAGTGGTAATGATACTAGGTTTTTTCAAAGGAAGTTGTTTTAAGTAAACGAAGCGTTGTCCGAGTACAGAATCACCACCCTATCCGTTGAGTGCATAGTTACTTTCATCTTACACATAGATATTAAGTATTTTATATAAATTACGTGCTATGTGTGCATAATATCTGAACACTTGTTGTCTATGCTGGATGAACAATTTGATACATGTTTTAAATGATTTAAACTGTATATGTATTTTATATCTACAAAATGTGTTGGGTAACACATGGGTAGATGTAATAGTTGCTTTGTGACAAAATAAAATAATGAGAGGCCTCAATGTTCTTGTTGATCCAGTCATCTAGCGGAGTATAGATGATGACCACTGACTTTTCTACACAGTCCAGTGGAACGCTCGCAGGTGTCACACCCCCAAACTAGAACGGCGGAAACATTCGGGGGCGGAGGACGTCATGTTTAGTATCACAAGACATGCATCATAGTAATCAAAGTAACAAACAACCATTTCATTAGAAAGAAAATGTTTACAAAGTATGTGGTTTACATAAGATAGACTACAAAAGTAAATAACAAAACAAGACATAAAGCTACTATGCTCCATCTTTTGAATCCCAGTGCGCGTACCTGTCTACTAGTTTCCTGAGAATACAAGTTATTTTGAAAGAGTAGATCAGCATTTAAGCTGGTGAGTTCATAAGTATTTTAGTGATGTATTAGTAAGTTGAAAGTTCTTTTAGAAAATTTCGCCTGTTCCTCCAAAAGATCCTATATCTTCTGATATGATGAAAGATAATTAAAAATGACTCTACAATCCCTTCTATGAGTACTAAATGGATACAAGTTATATAAAATCCAGAGTAAACAAACAATCGGTTGTGTGGATCTGCCCTAATCCCACAACCAAACAAGGAACAGGAAATGAGGCGGAAGTCACACATCCCATTGTTTGTTAGATCTTCGTTGTATATAACCCTAGCGTATTCATTTGGTACTCACAGAGTTAACTGTAATAGTTCCTTTATATTGATGACTCTTCTTTAAGAAAAACCCTTATTTCCTTTAGTAAAAATGGTAACCATTTCCTTTAGTATGGTAACCACAATAGTTCCTTCTATAATCACTTAGTTTATACTAGCTATATATAATCTAATATCGAACGGATAGTTAATTGTGTGACATTGCCCTAAGCCCACAACCAAACAAGGAACGGGAAGTAAGGCGGAAAGCATACATCCAACTACCTATCGGGTATTAATTATATATAACCCTGACGTAAAAACTAAGGTATTATAGAATTAACCACCTAAGGTCCTTTAAGTTATATTGGTTTAGTAAAATGGATTAAACCTTTCACTGATAAGTTTCTAGTTTAGTTGACTCAATGTTCTATCTGAAAAGTATGTTTTTGTACTAGAAAACGGTGTATTGAATTTGTATACTATGACCTGAACCATACATGGTACTCCTTATGATTACTTGGTGTATACGGAATATATATATATATATATATATATATATATATATATATATATATATATATATATATATATATATATATATATATAGCTAAGATCGATTAGATAGTAGACTGGTTGAATCTGCTCTGAGCCCACAACCAAACAAGGAACAGGAAATGAAGCGGAAGGCACACATTCTATTGTCTACCAGACCCGATTAATATATATCCCTGATGTATCTACCGAGGAATCATAAAGTTAGCATTATAGTCCCCCTTCTAGCTGAATGTACTAAGACCGGACTATTCTGTTTGTCTTTTGTAATGATGTAGGCTATGATGCATGGAAACGCCCAAAGAGGAGCCGTTCCCGTATCTGAAACGGTTGGGAAACGGAAACGCCGGTGAAACGCCGGGAAACGTTTCCGGCAAAGTATCCGCTATTCTAGAAACGTTTCGTGTAAGTTTCCTTCAGGTTTCCTTTTTTTTTGCATGGGCTTTTAATGCGCTAATGTGTAATGGGCTGTAGTCCTATATCGCATGCTAACTTGCTATTACCCTACAATTAGCCGATTACAATTTACAAGCCTAATTTCTAAAGTCTAAAACGATCGCTTCGCTGCTGCCTACTGTCTCGGTGACTCCTTGGTGATTGGTGAACGACTTTTACTGCCTTGCGCCCTTGCCTCTCTGTGTCGTCGATCAAGAAGACAAGAACAAGAAATAATTCAGAAATCATTCACACATTCACCATTCACCAATTCAAATTTCATATCGATTATTATGGCTTTTCAAGAACAAGAAACACAAGGATCATCTACATCAGTAGAACAACCTCCATTGTGGGACTTTGTAACTAAACTTGATAAACTTGCTGGAGCAGGAGGATGTTGGAAGTTCAAGTGTAACCTTTGCAGTGAAACCCGACAAGGATCATATTCTAGAGTTAGAGCACATTTGATTGGTCTAAAAGTTAATCTACTATTCAAATTAGTGTGTGTAGTGTGTATTGTGTATCTATGTAATTTTTGATTTTTGATTTATGTTATTGACTTATTATATTGATTCATGAAAAATTGTAAAGATATAAAATAAGAGGCTGTGGGGTTTTTTTTTATTCATGTATTTGTTGAGGGTTTTGATTCATGTTATTGTATTGATTATTGAACTATTGAATATTGATTCATTAACAATTGTAAAGAAATAAGAGGCTGCAATTTTTGTTTTGATTAATGTATTTAACATTTTGTTGCACTTTTGATTCATGACTTTATGTGATTCAATATAACTATTTACTCATGAATGATGGTAAAGAAATAAGTGGCTTTTGATTCACTTTCTTGTTTTGATTCATGTAATGTAATTGAATTGATAATGTCAATGATAACCTTATTTTTTTCATGTTGTTTAATTGAGAATGTAAATGTTATTAATTTATTATGTGTGTTCTTGAAATCATGTTGTTTTAATTGAATATAGGTAGTGGGATTTCTATTTGCAAGAAAGCAACAACAGCTGATAAACTTAACATGACACAATTAGAAGATGCGTATGAAAAGAAGAAAGCCGAGTCACAAGCGAAAGAAGTTCAGTTGCCATGTGAAGCTGGTGTTGGATTTAAGAAAAGAAAAGGTATTTCAACACCTATTGAAAGAGCTTTTGGTGTTGAAATTAGGGACCAATTGGATCAAGAAATAGCTAGAATGTTTTATATTGGAGGTTTACCTTTTAATCTTGCAAGAAATCCACACTATGTCAGGGCTTTTTAGTTTGCTGTTAACAACAAAATCGAGGGTTATGTACCTCCTGGTTATAATAAGCTAAGAACAACATTACTACAAAAAGAAAAAGATAATGTTCACAAGCTATTAGAGCCACTTAGGTCTACATGGAAAGAAAAAGGTGTGACTATTGTGAGTGATGGTTGGAGTGATCCTACAAGAAAACCTCTAATCAATTTCATGGCTACCTCAGGTAATGGTCCTTTGTTTCTAAAGACAGTGAATTGTTTTGGGGAAGTGAAAGATAGATTTTTTATTGCTGAATTGATGAAAGAAGTCATCAATGAAATTGGTCATGAAAATGTTGTGCAAATAATTACTGACAATGCAGCAAATTGTAAGGCGGCTGGAGAGATTATAGAGAGTCAGTTTCCTCACATCTATTGGACACCATGTGTTGTTCATACACTTAATCTTGCTTTGAAGAACATTTGTTCACCAAGGAATGTGGAAACAAATGATCTAACATATGAACAGTGTAGCTGGATAAAAGAAGTTCACGAAGAGGCGTTTGCAATAAAAAATTTCATCATGAACCATAACATGAGACTCTCGATTTTCACCAAGTTTACTCCTCTTAGGCTGCTTTCTGTTGCTGACACTCGCTTTGCCTCCATCATTGTGATGCTTAAGAGATTAAAACTTATCAAAAGGGGTCTTCAAGCTATGGTCATAACCGAAGAATGGTCTTCTTATAGATTAGATGACACTGAAAAAGCAAACGCTGTGAAAGAATATATTTTGAATGATGATTGGTGGGACAAAGTATCATATATTCTTAGTTTCACTGGACCTATATATGAGATGATTAGAGCTTGTGACACTGACAAGCCATGTTTACACTTGGTGTATGAGATGTGGGATTCTATGATTGAGAAAGTGAAGATTGAGATCTACAAGAAAGAAAAACGTCCGACATCTCAAATAAGTTGTTTTTATGACGTTGTGCATCGTATTTTAGTGGCTCGATGGACGAAGAATAACACTCCCCTACATTGTTTAGCTCACTCTTTACATCCAAGGTATAATATTTTAAATTATACACTTGATTTCTATTATATATTTATGTTTTAATTTTTGGATGTTGTACATATTATAGTGATGCATGGTTAATGGAGGATTCTACAAGATGTGCTCCACATAGGGATGGAGAACTTTCACAAGAAAGGATGAAATGTTTTCGAAGGTTGTTTCCTAATGATGATGAGTATGGCAGAGTCCTTGATGAGTATGCAATGTTTTCAATGAAGAGTGGTCCTTTTGAAGATTTAACAAGCATTTCAAAGATGGCTACTATGGAACCCAAGAATTGGTGGGTCAACTTTGGTGCTCAGACTCCTTTTCTCCAAACTTTGGCTTTTAGATTACTTGGACAACCTAGTTCTTCTTCTTGTGCTGAGCGTAATTGGAGTACTTATGCATTTATTCACTCGCTTAAAAGGAACAAGTTGACTACAAGTCATGCTCAAGACTTGGTTTACATCCACAATAATCTCCGACTTTTGTAAAGGATTCCGAAAGATGATGTAAAGATGTGGGATGTGGGTGGAGATGCTTTTGATTCAATGGAAGATGTCGGGTTTTTGGAGGTTGCAGATCTCTCACTAGATGAACCGGATTTTGAAAATGATTTGATTATTGATAATTAGTTACTTTTGAAACATTTAGTATTTTGGAGTTTAAACTTTACATATTTTGGAATTTTTTTAATATATATGTTTTTTCATATTTTTATATTGTCGTATCTGTGCCGTATCCGTATTGAATTTTTAAGTTTTGCCGTTTCCTGTATCCGTTCCGTATCCGTTTCCGTGCAACTTAGGATGTAAGTTTTCCCTAGTTTATAACTATCTTTACTGGAAAATAGTGTGCATTACCTTTTATGTGAGAATATCAAAATATAAATGTAATGGGAAAATGAAAGTATACAGTAGTATTTTAAAATGACTACTGAAGTACTGACTACCATAAAACCAATTAATTTAATTAAGGTCGAAAATGTGATGTGGTTGTAACCGTACTAATAACGCTCTCCCTTCAGGAGACTCTGGTTACAAAACGCGACTTAACAAACATATTGCTAGGCCGTGAAGTAGTCTCACATTAACGTTATCTTGTTCTTGTTTTAGTATGTTCCTCCCTATTCTAGTGTATACTATGCCTCTCTGTTCTTGTGTAGTATGTTCCTCCTTGTATTAGTTATAGTATGAACTGAACCTCTAAACTATACCTATTATAGTTTACTAGTATCTTCACTTTGAACTGCTAATGACTTGAAAATACTCATTTATCTACTGAGTTATGATTGTACTTTAAAAACGGAGTTTTATAAAATATAAAGTAACATAAACTTAAAATAGTTTTTGAAATGATTTGATCATTAATAAAGGCATAAGAAATCCTTTAAAATGGGTATCACAAATAACATTTACACAATTATCATTGTGTTCAACTCGTATTCTCCCCCCCCCCCCCTTAAAGCATTTAAAACATTTAAAAGATTGATTATAGGGGTATGAACTCACCTTATGTGGGTGATTCAATTGCAGATTCGTGTAAGGATGAGAAGTTCCACGAATGAATTCCCGAGACACAAACGATTCCTAAATGACATATTATAGCATATATAGGCATGTAATTAGTGTTTTAAACAACTAACATGTAAGGAAACACCCTTAGGGACTAGGAAACACTTGAAGTAAGTGTTACAATCACATGTGATTGACTAAAAGGGGTTTACGGCCACACAAGGGAGTGTACGGACAAGAGGTGTACGGTCATGGAGTGTACGGCCGTACACTCATGGAAAACATGCAAAAAGGGGTGTTTGATCCATAGGGAAACTAGTGTGACAAATGCACAACAAGAGGATGAACAAAACTCTCATTTTGGAGGGTCTTGAGGTGTGTACGGCCACACCAAGTGTGTACGGTCGTAAACACTTCCAAGATGGATGCATTTTGGGTCTTGATTCATTGGGATTCAAGGGTTCAAGAGTTCTAAGTGATAACAAGTACCTAGTAAGTGTTTAAGGCCTTAGGTTATGAACCTAACAAGGGTATACGGCCGTCGATAGAGTGTACGGTCGTACACTCTTGATGTTCATGAGTTTGATGATGTTTCATGGATGAAATCATGGATCTTCACTAGATAAAGCAATGTATCAACTAATCAATGGAAGGAATACTTACATTTTTGAAGATCAAGGTGAAAAGATTGATGATAGTTAAGAGAGAATTGGCTTTCTTGACTTGGAAGTGTGAAAAGTGTGATATAAATGAAGGAATAGCTTGATGGGTTCATGGGTACTACACCCATGGTGCGTCCGTACACTCCTCTTGGTGGAGTGTTTGGCTCGACAACATGAAGAACCTAAGTTAACTCAGAATGTACTAGGCCTAAACAGACCCTAAACAATGCTACAAGATAGCAGAAATGAGTCTGACTCTCGATTGATTGGATGGACTTACAAGGTGAAACATTTTGGGTTCTCACATCAGGCTCGCAACCTATAGGTGTTTATTTGAACTTAGTGCTCGCCAGCAGTACTCCATCCCCCACATGATTGCCTTATTTGACATAAATTATTGAGGAACCCCCGAAGCAATGTTGTCACCCCCGATGAAAATCCTTTGGATAGGTCCCTTATATTAGATGCTTTAGGGACGTAAAGTGAGGATAACGGGAACCAGGAATCGGGTTCGTTTGGTTTGATGAAGTTAATAAAGTTACTTATTGTGGGTTGAAAACCCTATGTGCTCACCAGGCTCCCAAGCCTGACCCACTCAGTTTTATGTATTACAGGTAGTGGAATGAGAGCATATTGGATGACTTGTTGAGGGATAGTGGAACATAGGCATGTAGACATGAATAAATGTTGTAAGGCTTATAATGTGTTGTTTATGCTTTTGATCTGTATCGAACATGACATCCCGAGGTTTAATATAATGAAACACATTTCTTCAGAAATGCTTTGATAAATCTTTATCATATTTTAGTTTGGGAACAAATTCAGCAACAATTTTATTTAAAATGTTACTCTGATTTTCAAACAAAGCATAAACAAATCGGTCTTTTTTGGCCGTGAAAATGGGGATGTCACACACCACGACATGGTTCGCGTTTAAATCTTGTATCTGCCAAGTCATCTGAGCGGCCACGAATATTCCATTCACCAAGTCATTTGTATCGAACAAGACATCCCGGGGTTTTAATATAAGCATCTTTTGTTCAAAAATAAACATAATTGTAGCTAAAACTATTAGATATATGATTTAAATTATATAGTTAAATATGCATATATCAACATCATATACTCACTCTCTCGGGAGTGGCTAATCAACCCTCAGGCTGACCTACTACAACCTAAGCTCACTCATGAAACCTACACTAGTCCTATAGAAGCTTATGTATGCTAATAATATATAACACTAGATTCGATAGATAGTCGAATACCTCGTTCTACCCTAAGCCCACAACCATACAAGGAACAGAAAATAAGGCAAAATCAAACATTATCAACGTATAAAATCTTAGTTATGTACAACTATGACACATACACTATGAAACTAAGTAGTAATGTCAATTCCACATAGCATAACAAGAAATTATCCTAGAATATTAGGCATCATACATCAGATAATTCTATCACCCAATTCCGAAAGACTCTTAGCCTACATACTGGCATGCATTTCTATCATATCAGCAAATACACAAATAAATGTGGGTATCTTGGGGAATCACTTATCTTGAAGTCGGCTGATCGTACACATCGCATCCCTCTTGTCGGTCTTTTCTTAGTTAAATTTTGAAAACATTTTGATGATCCTCAGTTTGAATCTTTAATCACGTAAGTGTTCATCCAATTCTCTCAAACCAGGGATCTGATACCAACTTCTAACATCCCAAAAAAGAAGATAAAATTTTTCATTTTTCATATAAAAAAATCATTTTTTTCATAAAACCCAAGTGACAAACCTAAGTGTCAAATACAAATATCCCAAAAATCAGAGTATCCAAAACAAGAGAAAATCAAAAACTGCATAGGATGTGTGCGATCAAGCCTTCGCCTTTCCCCGATCATCTGAAGTACTTGAAACAAGAAATCCACAACTGTAAGCCCAAGTTTATTGAGTTTCCCAAAATGCCCAACCCATAGAAAATACAAATACAATGCATGTATACGGGGTTTATTGGCTAGAGTATTCAGAATGAGGGTCTCAGCTTTGTAATGATCCAATGACTGTTATATAAAAATTCCACGACATGCCCATATCTAAGATGCTTAGAAGGTCATGAAGCTATGGAAGTTTTGAAATATATACAAGAAGGGGATTATGGCAACCATAGTAGGGGTAGATCCTTATGTTCCAGAGTATTAAGAACAAGATACTATTGGCCAACCATGAAGAGAGATGCCTTCTTACAGGTTTAGAAGTGTGATGCTTTCCAATGATACAACAATATCCTTCATCAACCAGCGGAACCTTTATTCCCCATCATTTCTCCTTGGTCATTCGTGAAGTGGGGAATGGACATAGTCGGAAAACTACCCAAGGCACCAAGTGGAAAAGTTTTCATGCTATCCATAACATGCTACTTCTCGAAATGGATCGAATTCGAGGCTTTTGTTCAAGTAAGGGGTAAAGAAGTAGTCTCGTTCATCATATGTGATAGCTGATCCTAATTCATCAGCAAAAGAACTAGGGAATTTTGCATCAAGTGGAAAATCAAAATGATAATTTCCACCCCATTTCACCCTAAAGCTAACGGACAAACAGATTCCAACAATAAGATCATAGTCAATAACCTGAAAAACTGGTTGGATGAAAAGAAAGGGAAATGGGCTGAAGAACTACCTTTCATTCTATGGGCAGATAGGACCACAACAAAAACGGAACTAGGTAAAACCCCATACTCCTTAGTATTCAGAGCAGAAGCTGTGATCCCAAATAAATTAGTGATCCCGACGGCAAGATATCAACTCCATACTCAAGACAATAACGACAAGATTCTGGCTCAAGATCTTGACACTATTGATGAAATAAGGGATCTCGCCAAGATCCGCATTGCAGCTCATAAGCAAAGGATATCTAAATCCTACATAGAAATATGAAGGTCAGAAGATTCCAAGTACGCGACTTGGTTCTAATAAAGGCGTTTCAAAATACCAAGGATCCTAAGAATGGTAAGCTAGCACCTAAATGGGAAGGACCTTGTCTCATCAATTCAGAAGCAATAAAGGGGGTACATTGGCTGGATACTTTAGAAAGGAATCTATTGCCAAGATCATGGAATGGTATACACCTCAAAGTGTACTTCAAGTAATTCAAAGTCACAATATTTCATTACGACAATGTCAAGGTACACACCTACTTCTTACCCTCATTTTTCCATTTGATTAATTTTTCTCAAGATTGTTACTGACTTAAGCATTGCAGGGGCGTTAGCCAAACTAATGCCCACCCCAAGCTAACTTTTTCTACATGCAGAGGCTTGAATACCCTAG